TAAAGTAGGATTTTTAAGGATTTTCTCATTGCTGAGTCTCAGAAGCCTCAGTTGTTCCCCATGGTGTGCAAATAAACCTGCCCTTCCCTCCCTCCCTCAGGTTACTATCAGCCCTGTGATTTCACACATAGTGAGTCCCCACAGCTTCCTTTTTCCAGGGTAGATTTTTTTCCCCCCTCTTTTTCTACTGCCAAAACCACTAAAGTTGCAAAATAATAATAATAAAAATTAACCCTGGTCAAGAAGAGTCTGGATCCCAGGCTGGGTTCCTGAGGTGATCTCCAGATCCTTGGGTCCACCCTCTCCAGCTCAGACGACAGCCTCGTCCAGCTGGGACACGCAGGTTCTCTCAACAGTTCTTGTATGTTTAGAGCAGAGGGAACCTGTCCACCCACTGCAGATGTCAGGGTCCTTCATAGCCTATTTTGCTGTGAATCATAACCTGACCCTGTAGAGTCCTAGGCTGGAAAATCAGAAGAATATTTCCAGCACGAGGTTTTCTGACCTGCTGCTCTGTGGGAGCTGTTGGAGATGCTCAGGGGATTTCTGGAGGAGCCTCTTTGTGTTTGGTCATCTGAGAAGGACTTAGCAGACCAAAGGATTTTGTGATTTCCAGTAAATCTTCGTTTTCCTTCTAGGTCACAGAGCACACATGTTTCATAACATGAAATATTTGATCCTTTCACTGTGTCGTGGTCAGTGCCTCCTCAGGCCGTTCTGCTCGGGGTCCCTGGGCTGTGGAGCTCTGCCTGCACCTAGAGCAGGGACAGGGGCTGCTGTGGCCCAGGGAGGGACACCAGCCACCCAGGAGCACAGGACAGTGTAGCTGGCAAGGTTCAGGTGGCAAGCCAAGGTTCAGAGATCTGGTGGAGATTTTTGCAAGTGCTGTAGGAAGCTGGTATCAGTGCTGACAACATCAGCTCTTTTCTGCCTCCTTTTAACTTCTTTGATGTCTGTTGAAAAAGGCCTTTCTTGATACCTCTTAGGAGACTGCTTGAGATGTGAAGGAGCTGTCAGACAGTGCTCTAGAGAGGTGTCTGCTCTGTTTAAATGCTTCCTGTATGTGGTGGTTGCAGAGATTTGGGCTGAAATCAGGTATTCATGTGGTGGCTGGTGTTCTGCAGCTTGGCTGATGTTCCTCTCCACATGGTTTCCATTGCTGGCATTCCTCTGGTTTCTGTGCAGAGCAGACATGAAGCAGGCTCCCTGCTGCTGCTTGCAGGTAGGTTGCTCAGCCAAGCTGCAGAGCACAGGACATGGTTATAAACAATGAACAGAAAATGCCTGTCTCCCAGCCCATATCCCCTTCCTTGCTTTGGATTTGTCCAAGATCTGTTGAAGTTGGAAGGAAGTCTGCATCTGTTTCAGTGGGGCTTTGGGACAGGGTGAAGCTGGAGTGCCTCCTCAATGCCTCTCAGCAGAAAGTGGTTCTGTGGCCTGCTGTGTCACCCTGAGAGCCACCACGGTGGTCACCTCGAAGCCCACACAGCCATTTCAAAGGTAGTTATTGAAAGGGTTGTACTCATCTGTTGCTGACAGGCCATAACTCACTGACTGCAGCAGCTCAAGTGCCTGTGTTACTGTTTGTTGCACGCCTGATCCTGTGTTTAATGATATAACAAAGCTACTCAAACTGTTAGTTGTCCTCCTTCTTGGATTTCCCTGTCTCTTTGTGCTCCACAGCGAGTGCTTCCCTGATGCTTTTTGAGTCTCTGTCTGTCATGTTTGAAGGCAATACCCTGAAAATGAGAAGAGATGAAGCTTTTGCCTGAGTCTCCAGACAGCCCACAATCCTCCATAAGGATGGGCTTCCTCTTTTCTCATCTGGGAGTGATTGTTTGTCTTAAAACCCAGTAGGAATATTTGATATGCCAGGTTCCCTTAATGGTCTGACTGGTGAGGTGGGATCACAGCCCTGCCCTTCCCTTGTGAGTAGATAGAGGGTGTTCGGAGAGGTGCTGCTGAGGTTTTCTGAAGAAGGAATAATGAATTCATAGCCTTTCTGAAAAGCCAGTCCCTCTATTTTTGCCCTAACATCAGAGGAGGATGATGCTGCATCCCTTCTCCATGGGAGATGGTGAGCTTGGCTCTATTGTTCCATAGGGAACCTGTAGAGGAGGGGAACTGTGGGGATACATGCCTGGAATAATGCAACCCTGAGAGATGGAATCACAGAAGTGTGGCACCACTCATGAAGCATTTGCTGTACATTATTTATCATCACTGCGTCATCTGGAGGCCCCAGCTGAGGTGTAGACCCTTGTGTGCCAGATATCATGAGATGTTTAGGCTTTGTTGTCCAGATAAGCTGTGTGGAAAATGCAAACTAAGGAGAGCTGTGCAGGGGAAGCAGAGCTCCAGGGACGTGCCCAAGGTCATGAGGGGCTGAGTGGGCTTCAGATCTTATGGTAACACACGGCCAGTGTGTTCCCCAAAAGCTCTGTCTGCCTTCTCCCCCACCTTCCCAGGCCTCCTGCTGTCTGTGCTTTCAGGAACCACAGAAAGGGACCAAGGATCCTGGTGGCCAGTTCCAGCTTCTTGCTTGCTGGAGCCCAGCTTTAAACTCGGCAGGTCTCCATGCTGCAGCAGCACAGCACTGCTTCGTTCCTGCTGTTCTTGAGAGGACTCCAGCAACTCTGCTTAGCATCTCCTGAGGGATCTGGCATTTGCAGACAGCCAGGACAGTGCTTTCAAATGTGTGGAAAGCATTATCCAGATCCCTGTTTTTAAGATGGTCTTGAGTTTGTTTTTTCAGGCTTTTGTTTGTTAGGGTTTTGGTTGGGGTTTTTTGTTTGTTTGTTTGTTTTAGATTGTAACTTCTTCTGACAGTTCAGACCTGCATAGTGAATCCTTGGCTGTGCTGCTGCTGTCAGCTGGCTGCCAGACCCTTGTCCAGTAAAGAGCTGCAGCAAGGAACACCAAGTGCTGCGTCAGGGGTGGCTGAACCACTGGTCCTTAGCAGATCATTGGCTGAGGACATTCTGAGTATCACCTTGGCAGTGTTTTAAATGTGGCCAACATTTAAACATGGCCAACGCTGAGTGCAGGCAGCTTTCTGCTGGGGCTTACCCCAGAGGTGGGTGTGCTCTTGGGCTGGCACTGAGGAGGCCCTGGGCAAGTCCCAGGTCACAGCTGCCTTGTGTAACTGTGTCTCTGTGAGTGTCAGTTCCTCTTTCTGTAGAGAAAGCACAGTGGTCTTCTTTATAAAGAGCTTGGAAACTTAGGATGTGTCACCCTTAGATAAGAGAAAACCAATTGCCAGGAGCACCCAAGTCACTTTACATCCCAGAAGTTGGAAATGTGAGCAGCAAGAGAGGGAAAGCCTGACCAGAGCAGTACTATCCTGGCTGGGGCCAGAAGCAGGCACATGTCTGCAAGGGACCAGGAGCTCAGGCTGGGCTGGTCACAGGCATCTGTCCTTCCTGGCCTTCCAGGGCACCTTTCCAGGGCTGGTGCTTGGCTCTTCTCCTGCTGTTGCAAGCCAGTACTGGGGGGCTACCCACACCTGCAGAAAAGGATTTTGGTGGTGTCTTAGTAAACCATTTTTTGCCTGTCTGTCCTCACTGCAGTTGTCTGTTTATTCCTTGGACTGTGCTGCTGGCAGTGAGAGTGCCAAGACTTAACTGTGCCTTGGACAGAAAGGGGTCTCTTAGTCAGGGTCCTTCCCAAGAAGCTGATTCCTGAAACACAGGGTCCCTGCCTCCTTGGGCAAACTGGAGCAGCCTGTGGGATGGAGGGGCAGCTTGGGAGGAGAGCTCAGTGCCCTGCTGAACCCTTGTCTTCTCTGATGAAAACTTTTGCTCAAGCCAAAAGCGTCTCCATATAATGGCAGAGAGGAGGTGCAGCCCCTTCGTATGGGTATCCTGGCCCAAAGAAGACCCTTGGGGAGCATCTTGACAGATTTTCTGGCACAACAGTGTAATTTTGTGCCCTGAAGCCAGTATTGGGTTTCAACAGAGGTTAAAGAAAGCAAATTCCACATGTTTCTTCAGATTATTATTGTGTAATACTTGACTTTACAAACTGGAACCCTGTAAAAAACTGTGTAGACAATGGAGAGATGGAAATGAGCCCCTCTGCTGGCTTCTGGGGGAGAGGGTTTCTCTTTCTAGGTGATGATTGAGTCTTGGCTGTTTTTTTCTGAGCAGAAAATGGCATTGAGATTCAGAATCACAAACGTGCTACTTGAAGTAAGGTGGCTTTCATGGTTTCCTAGACTACATAACTCAGACTGTGCAGGAAAGAACTCCTTTAATGCAAACATAACCAAATCAAATGAAGGGGTTTTGCTTTCTGCTCAGATCTAGTCCTGGCTTTTGTGTTCAGCAGTACAGCCCAGGGCTTTTGAATGAAATAGCAAAACTGCCCCCTAGTTCATCCCCAGAACAGGCTGAGGCCTGTGCTAATCACACTTTTGAGTGTGAGGCAGCCTCAAGTTTTGTGTGTGCAGGGAAGTTTAGGCTTTGGTTTCCTTGGCTGGAAGCATTTGGAAGCTCTGCACAGCCTGGCTGGGAAAGGAGCTCCCTTGGAGGGATCCCTTTCTGCCACCCCAGCTGATGAGGCTGCGTAGATTCCAGGGCTGGGGCTGTTGGTCACAAATGGGGAAGAGACTGATGTGTGTTGTGACCAGTGGGATGCTGTCTGTCTTAGAGTAATCTCCTGAGAAGTCTCATGTGCCAGTAAAACAGTTGTAAAAGCAGCTAATGATTATGGGTATTCCAGCATTTGGGTGATTAAGGAGGTATTTTAAAAGATAATCTTATTTAAAAAAATGCTGAACACTCATTGAGGAGTGATTTGCAGGAGCCTGACTTTGACCTTGCCACTTGCTTCTGAAAAATCCAGGTTTATGTGAGCTTAGGTTAAGTACTCAGGCTTAGTGCTGCAGGAGATTGTTCTCTGAGCCCAGGAAAATATGTACCATGAACTTAAAACTCTCTTTCTGTCTTTCTTCTTCCACAGAGCAAACTTCCCATGACTAACAAATGCTGGCCTAGATTATGAGCTCAAACAAGAGCTCTCGCTACAATCGTTTCTCCAGTGGCACAACAAGCATCACTACTTCTGAAAACACCAACGGGGTGAGGCTTGGGGGTGTGGGCAGGGGCTGGGGCTGCTTCCTGTGCTTTCACCCTTTCTTCTGAGAAAGAGAAGATGGCTTTTGAAAGTATGGTGCTTTCTTGCCTCTTAAAAATCACAATATCCACAGATAAAAGTTGGGAATGTGTTTGTGTGTGTTTTTCACCAGTCAAGGACAGGTGACAAGCCTGTGGGCTGTGCTGTGGTGATACCCACTGACTTGTGTTTTGTCACTGTTTCAGACAAGAATGGAAACAACTTTTGGGCCAGCCTATTCTGCTGTGACAACCATAACCAAGGGTGAGTGTATTTCGTGCACAAGAGCTTCTCCCCACAGCACTGTTTTTGATTCCTACCAGTTCTGCTGCTGCTGTTGTACAGATCCTAAAGCTGCTGGGAGGATCACTCTGTTCACTGCAGGCAGGTGCTGAGGTGCTGCTTCCAGTGCTGTGCAGCCCACTTGTTGTTCAGTCGTGGCATCTGATGCTCAGGGAATGAGCTCCACAGAACGTGCTCCCTTTAGGCAGACTTAACAGTACCACTGGGAAGCCCTTGCTGGAATTAGGATAGTACAAAAGGGTGGGACACAGAACTCAGCCCCAAATCTTATTTATCTCTCTGACTTCTCAGGCAACCATTTCCAGTGCTGAAATTCCCACCTTCTCTCTCTGCCCGACTGCAAGTTGCTCTGGGCACTTTGGTAAAACCCCCATGGCCATTTTTAACTTGGACAGGTGGGGATGCAAGAACTAGGATAGGATGGGATGCAGGTGTAGCTGGTCTTTTAAAATTCTTCTGCTCTGTTCCTCAAAGCCCAGCAGGTGAGGAGTCTGAGCCCTGATGCACGGTGTGAATGTAGGAGGAAGCCTGGTTTCGTCTTTTAGTGAAAATATGCTTAATTTAGTGAAGATAAACTGGCACTTGACAATAATTTACATAAGAAACTGAACATCTGCTTGGGGAGATACTTGGATTACTTTTGTACAGGACTCTGGACTTTAGGAGGTTGGGCTCTGAATATTTACATTCAACTTTTTATGTAAGTCAGTAATATAATCTTTATACAAATATCTCCAGTTTCATTTAGCGTTGCACGAATATACAGACCTCCCTTGATCAAAGCAATTTTTCTTGATGACTGAAATATGCAGGAGTATAATGTTCCCTTTTAATAGTGTTTTTAACCTACGGACCTGGTAGAATATTCTCTGTGCTCTTTTCTGGGCCAGCTACCTCTGAGGAGCCTCCTGCATTTCAGCAGGCTCTTGAAGATGAGGTTTGTTCTGCCAGCACTGACAAGTCCAGGTCAAGAACTGGAGCTGGGGAATCCCTATGCTTTTTCTTTTTCAGGGAACACTTAAAGCTACACTGACCAGTAGCTCAGAAATGTCACTGAGGAGCCTCAATGCTTGCTTTTATTTTTTCCTATTTGATTTAAAGCTGACGGGACCAACACCTTTAAGCAGCACCGCCGGACCCCGTCCTCCTCCAGCACACTCACCTACTCCCCACGGGATGAGGATGATGGCATGGTAGGTGCTGACAGGCTCAGCTGATTATATGTCAAATGATATGGTTATGTGTCAAATGAGAGCTGTCTGGTGCTGCCCTGGGCTTCCCTGCCTCCCTCACCATTCCCGTTATGCACTGGAACCTCAGTGTTCCCTGGCTGCTCCCAGGGCTGCAGTGGGGGAGCAGAGGCTGCTTCTGCCCAGGCCATCGTGCTGGCATTGCTTGTGCTCATTTTCAGGCTGCTTCAAAATGGTACCTGGTTACAAAGCCCCGGAGCTAAAGATCTCACAGACCTTGTGAGGGTGTACCTGCCTCCTGATGCAGCATGCTCTGGGTCTCCTGAGCTTGGGAGAAAACGGAGCTCCTGCTGGCATGTGAGACCATCCAGCAGCACATCTGGCCCTGTGGTTTTGACCAGAAAATCCATTCCTCTTTCCACCTCCAGATGGGGCTTCTGGCCACTGGGAGCATGTTTGAAACCTGCAGAGTATATGTTGGTGTGCATGACAAACTGCTCTGCTCCTGGAGACTGCTTTGTCAGGGGCTTCTCACACAAACCATTCCCATGGCTTTCCCAATATCTTTGCAGAAGAGCAAAATACTCAGTTTTGTACCCAGCTTTCTCATTCAACACACTCTTTTTTACTCTTTCTGAGTAAATTTTTTTTTTGGGAATGTAGTGAACCAACAGGCCTCAGGGTTAGCTGCTTAAAGAGAAATTAAATCAGCTAAATCAAGTCAAATGAATAGGAACAGCAAAGCAAACCTCAGTGAATGGACAGGTAGCTCTGAGGCCTTGATCTTCTCCTGTCCCTGATGCTCCAGCCACATCTCAGAGTCACAAGCTCCTGTTTAGATTCAAGCAGGTGACTTTTCAAATTAACAAAGTCGTTCTAGGGTTTGTCAGGCTATGAGACCCAGCTTCCATGCCAGGGGTGAATGGATCACTGCTGCTGAAGTCAGGCACTGGCAGAGACTGGGGCCAGCAACAGTATGGAGCTGCAACACTTCTGAAATTAAATTTGACACCAGATTGCAAAGAGCTTTATTGTCAGCATCCTATAAAATTCCTTCTGTTGCTCAGAGATCTTGCTGTGTTTTATGTAAGTGTGTGTTTGTTTTTTCAAAAAGTCCTTTGAAGATTTGCCTTGTGTCCTTGGCAAATGCAGCTCTCCATCATATCCCTGACCCCATGGTGCTGGGCTGCTGTTCCAGGAAGCCCTTGGCTGTCAGCACTGATCCTGTGGGCTGGGTGCTGGGCTCACTGCACCTTTTTCGCGAGCTGTGCAGTTCTTACAGAGCACAGGTGAGGATCTTTCCCAGAGGAGCTGGGGATGCTGAGGATATTATGTTGACCCATGTCTGATGGAGGAGCTCCCTGGCTCCTTCCAAAACTACAGTGTGGCAAACTGAGGTGTGCAGCCAAGAGCAGGAGAGATCTGTCCTAGGACCTACCCTCAGTCCTCTTGGATGGGCTCAGACCACCTTCCCTGCAGTGCTAAATATTCTTATGCAAAAAGAGAAAGAGGATTAATGAGGGGTTGAGGAAGGAGCCTGCAGCCCCTGATGCTACCACACCAGAAGCACCACAGCCCTGCTCTGCTTGCTGCTCCAGGCTGACTCTCACTAACCCCTTTAGGATGCTTCCTTTGCTTTGTCAAGAAATAATCTGGGATTTCCCTTCCTCATTTGTTTTCCTCCTCCAGAAGCTGCCAAGGGCTTGTCAGCTGTCAGAGAGACAGCTGGAGTCGAGTCAGAGCCCTCCTGTGACCTCCACCACCCCTTTCTCTTTCCTTTTAAAGCTTCTGTTAGTGAAACCAAAAGCAGAGCAGTGCAAGGCAGGGATTATTGGGCAGCTGCTGTCATCTTTCCTGAAAATGGGGCTGTGGGTTTCCAGCCTTGCTGTGCCTAAAGGGAGAGGGAGCAAGAGCCTTCACAAGGAGACTGCTTTTGTAGCTGATGTGGTGGGCGCTGCACCTTAGGATTACAGTGCAATATGGGGAAAGTGTACACACATGGATGAAGAGCTGACTGGTTGCCCAAAGTCTTGGTTGTTTACAAAAAGCTTCACCTCTGAACCAGAGGCTGGGCTGAGTTACCAGCCAGCCACAAGCTATCCATCTCCATCACACACTGAGTCCTCTGTCCTTGGGCTGTTTAAGATGGACTGGATGTTTAGTGCAGAAATAGCCCTGGAATTGCTGTGGGGAGGTGGGACCCTGCTGACAAATCTTCCCAAACCTGGCTGAAGCAGTGCCACCTGTGCCACCTGCCCCTGTGTCAGGGCCTGGGCTCTTTGGCTTGTGTGTGTACAGGTCCCCCCAACATGGGCAGATGCCCACGGGGTGGGGGTCCTGTAGTGCTCTGTTACTGTGTTTGCAGTGCAAGAGCACCCACAGTCAGTGCCCTTGTGCTGGCTGCTCTCTTGCTGCAAAGCTCAGCCAGGCTGGCAGTGGGAGCAGTGCAGTGACTTGCCCTGTAGGGCTGAGGCCTCTCATGGCTCAGCCTTGTTTGCTTGGCAGAAACAAAGGCTGCAGGTACCTAGAGGGGCAATAAACACCAGCACACACCTCTGATGTTCAGTCTTGTCCCTACAGCCTGAGCAGAGTGACCTTTCTCAGCACATCAGCTTCCCTCCTGTGTAGTTTACAGCAGCAGTAGCCCAGCCAGGACACGGGGAGCTGAGCCTGAAGTGCTGCACAAGCCTAGCGAGGCTGCCCCACACCCCTGCTTCCGCCTGGGCTGCAGTTCCCTGCTCTCCATCCATGATCCACACAGGATCTGCCTCTGCAGTCCCTGCCTTTGCTGCCCTGATATCTTTGTTGCCTCCAGAATGGGAACTATGCACAGTCAATCTTGTTATTTTAATAACTTCTGTTACTAGTGGAGGAAAATGATAAAATTAATGGATACACATACAATTTATTTACCTCGTTATAACCATTTCTCCTCAAGGTTTGCACATGTAGCCAATAAATATGCCTTCTTTAAGAAAAAGAGCTTTATGCTTTGGCTTCTAAGCAGATGCAGCATTTCTGAGCTCCTAGGATCTTAGTATCATAAAAATTAAGCAGCAGAGCAGTGTGAAGAACCAGCAGGAGCTGGTCTGCTCCTCTTCTGCAGCCCGGCAGGGGAGAGCCCTGCACTCAGGCTGCCGTATGGTCTGGCTCTGGGGGAGGCAGCACTCTCTGAAGCTCATCTTACACCTTTCATTGCTGAATTTCCTGACTGCTCCACTGGCTTCTTACATTGCTTTTGTCTGTCCTTGGTTCTGATGTAACCCACATCATCCAGGGTGAGCACACGAAATGCAGCTTGGGAAGTTTGGATTGAATGTGAGGAAAAAACATTTCGTTCACAAGGCCTTGCAGGGTAGGAACCCGGGCAGCAGAGCCTCATCTGTGCAGCTTTCCCTGTTCCAGCCAGCCAGTGCCAGGGCTGACCTGATCCAGGGCCAGGGAGAGTCCCTTTTCAAGTGGGCATCAGAGCCAGCCATCTCCAGATCTCCTTCCAGGAGTTGGTGGCTGATGGAAGCTGCAGTCAAGCCACGTGTAGGTGTGATAGGTGCAGGCAGCCTGGGCATTGGTGGTCTCTTGATGCAGCTGAAGCTGATGGCTTTGTTCCACTATTCCTCTGGCAGCCCACCCATTCTGCTCGTTGAAGACTTCTTGTCCTCTGCTCTCTTCCCAGCCTGCCAGCAGCACATCCTCCAGAGTGACCCAGCAGCAACTGCACTACCGGCTGCTCCAGAGCCCCAAATCCAGTCACCCTGCGGTCCAAAGTGTCGAGGGTTTTGCTTTGATGCCAACTGGCACCTTGGCTGGTTGATATTCCACCCTTAGAGATGTGCTGCTGGTTAATATCCAGAGGCAGCATTCCCTCAAAGCCAATCCCCAGGCTGCTATAGCCAGCGGGATGTTTCTGGATTGGTGCAGGCCGTGTCCACTGCGTGTCCCTCCCGCGCAGGAAGCGGCACAGCCAGGCTGCTGCTGAATTGAATAGAAGGAAGTCTCCACACTTACGCAGAGCACTTTGGCAGAAGTCAGATAGCGAGGGAAACAACAAGTGCTGCTGCAGGGGCCGTAGGGCTGCAGGAGCTGGTGCCTGTCTCGGGGGGAGGTTTGCTGAGCTCTCTGTCTAGGATTAATCCTTCCAAACTGCTGCTTTGCGGGTGTGTGCGGTAAGTACGTGAGCGAGTGCACCTTTGAGAAAGTTATGTGTGTGCAATGGAGGTGTCAGCTTGGTTGGGGGCTAAGCCTGACCCGTGTGTGGCATGGAAGTGTCAGCTTGGTTAGGGGGTTAAGCTTGACCCGTGTGTGGCATGGAAGTGTCAGCTTGGTTGGGGGCTAAACCTGATCCATGCCTGTCCTGCCCCAAGCGTGGTGCAGGGTTCCTGCTGCCGGGAAGGGCTCACAGCAATCAGGAATGCTGCTCTGCGGCTGCTCACATATGGAGCAGCTGAGCTTGGTGAAATGGGGGAACTGAACTTGAAGTCTCCTTGTGTATGATTTTGGAGCAGGTGGAATTGTTTGCAATAACAAGAGCTGTTTCTTTGTCTCTCTGAAGCCCCCGATCAGCACCCCACGCCGCTCCGACTCGGCCATCTCCGTTCGTTCACTGCACTCCGAGTCCAACATGTCCTTGCGCTCAACGTTCTCTCTCCATGAGGAAGAGGAGGAGCCAGTAGGTATTTGGGATTGTCTGAAGGAGCAGTATTAGGAAGTTCATGTCAAAAGAGTGACTTAGTGGACTCTTGTGAGTACATAGACCTATCATGGGCAGATTTCTGAGGTGTCTGGCAACTAGAAGCCTGACTGTCAAGACTCCTGGTTTTAATTTTGGTTCCACCACTGAATTCTGCAAGTCATTTTGCTTCCTTGTCTACCATTTCCCTATACATCAAGAGGGGATAATGGTGAGGCTGTTCTGCTTCTCAGAAAAGTTGTCTTTGCAAAACCACGTGTGATTCCCTGGCTGTGCTGCAGAGCAGCAGGGGTTGTGAGTCTGGAGGCTGGTGGTCTAGCCCCCGGCAGCAAGCCTAATACAATTCCCCACTGATTCAGAGCCCCATCTTGCATTTAAGGCTGCATGACACCCCGCTGACTTGATTGTAAACCCAAGAGGGTGCAAGGAATTGTCCACGTCACATTTCTTGTGGGGGGGACACTTTTAAGCTGAGCTTAACTTGTAACCCAGTAACGAACCCGGGGCTGGATGTGCCACAAGGTCAGGCAGCGTTTTGCCACGGGGCTGGGATGAAAGCGTGTGTTTCATATTTAGGAACCCAGGGGGTTGTGTTTGCAGTTCTGAGAGTAGCACAGGATGAGAAGACAGATCAAAACTTCAGTGTTTGATTTGAAATGCTCTGAAATGCGAAGCCCTGCTCTGGCATGGAGTGGAGAGCTGTGTCTCAGGGAGGACGTGCTCATAGCCCATGCTCCAGCAGTCCTAGTTGGTAAACAAAAGTGCAGAGATTGGCCCATTGCAGCAGAAACAATGTTGTTTCTGCTTCATAAGAGAATGAAAGAGCCCTTCCTTCAGGATGTTTCAAAAATACAAAAGGGCAAGCTGTTTTAAAATTGCTTTTAAACTTCAGGCTTAGTTCAGGGACATTCTTGGCAAGACGCTGTTCAGTCCAACCACACAAAAAGCAGCAGACAGTGCAGCTCAGGAGGTTCTGGAAGAAGCTGGTCTGTGCAGTGTGCTGCTGGGTGCTGTCCTGCCACATGCTGGTGGTTCCCATTTTTTGGTGAGCTGAGGGTCTCCAGCCATTCCCAAGTTCCTTCTTCCACTACCTCTGACAGACTGTAGGTCAGCAGATCCAGACAAGAGTTTATTTCAAGATGGAATCCTTAGTGTGCCCTGTGGCCCTGGCTTCCCAAGGCTCACTGCTGAAGACTTTTGTGCCTTCTGCGGAGCTAGGGACTCTGAGTTTGGCCTAATCCTTGTGCTTTCTGTGTCCCTTTCTCTTCTCCTCTTCAGGAGCCACTAGTGTTTGCGGAACAGCCGTCCGTGAAGCTGTGCTGCCAGCTGTGCTGTAGTGTGTTTAAGGATCCAGTCATCACAACCTGTGGGGTAAGGCAGGACTCTCAAATCATGAGCATGGTCTCCACAGAGGTCCTGTATGACCTGTAGCAAAGCCTGGATTGTCCCAGTGACTGGTGACTGTCAGCCTGAGTGAGCAATGACAGAGCGGCCCCTGACCAGAGAGAAGCCTGGCCAGCAGAGGAGCAGATTTCCCCCAAGGCCAGTGTGAGCCAGTCTGCACTGGGGTGTATGGGGCACTCTGCAGTTTCCCAGGGGAGCCTGGGGATTGCTTAAAATTGGACTGCTTCTCCCAGGAGAGCTGTACTGTCAGCTCCACTCAGTCTCCCTGGTGTGGCTTCAGTGAGGTTTAAGGCTTCAGCGTGGCTTGAGTGCCTAACACTCCTTGTTCCTTGTCCTGAGGGCTCTGCAGAGTGCTCCTGCCTCCTGGGCACATCAGGAGCAGCTGCTCTTCAATTGTGAGGAAACTGCTTCTTATAAAACAGGAATGGCTTGAAGCTTCATTTAGTTAATGCTTGCAAAGAGATTTGAGATCCTCTAATGAAAGGCACAGGGCATTATGAATATTCTTCTATATTCCATTTTACTGGGCTCTAATAGAAACTGTGCATTATTGCTGCTTCTGTGCTGCATATGAGGGAAGATGGCTGATGGCTTTGTGACTGGGCTGTAATGCTTCTGATGTGCTTCTGATTGCTCAGGTGGAGCTGTGGCAACAAAGCAGAGAGCAGGATTGTTTATTGCAGTCAGGGTGCTACCCCCAAAGATGCTGGAACTTGGTGCAGTGAAACTGCACCATTTCAGTTAAGAGCTCTTCATGGAGACACTGAGATTTACTGGTTAATGTGGAAAAAAAAAATAATTGCCTTGCTTTATTTGCAGTCCTGGTCTGGCAGCTCTGGAGAGAGCACCATGCAGCTGTGCAGGGCAGGAAAAAGCTGCCTGAGCAGGGCAGCAGATAACAGCTCTGGAGAGTGACTTGCAGTCTCTCCAGCACTGCTGCCAAGTGCTGGCCCTGTGGCCATGGGATGTGGCTGTGGAGGCTCCAGGGAACCCACAGGGCAAGTTCAGGACCAGTGAAGTGCTGCTGCCTTTGTTCCTTTTTTTCATATTCATTAACATGTTAGATTGAATTTGCTGTTTTATCAAGTTAGATTGTTACCATACATTTCTGCTGCAAGAATAGAGAGCTACTTAAAGTGGCAAAATTTACAGTGCATGGCTTAAAAACCAGCTGCCCCTGGCAGCAGGACAGCTTCAGCCACGGTAGGAAAGCTACAGAGGGATTTATGTGATGGGCTGGCTGGCCAAGGACAAGGCCAGGCTGGGGCTCTTCCCCTAGAGAACTTCTCAGGGAAATGAAAGGAATGACATTGATTAATTGGATGGTGATGTAGAGAACCCCCATGCAGACTTGAAGGGCAGGAGCATCAGAGAGTGGCAGAGCAGGGCTCTGGCCTGTGCTGAGCTCATGGCTGGTCTGAGCAGGGCAGAACCCTCAGAGCTTCACACCGTGTGTGTCCTACTGGTCAGGAGCAGGAGCTGTGCTGCACTCTCCGTTGCCAGAGCAAGCAGCTGGTTTTTGCCCTGTGGTGCAGACTCAAGAGTGTGCTGAGCTGTAGAGCAGGCAGAACAGCTGCTGAAGCCCCTGTGCCACAGGCTTTGGTATCTCCCACCTTTCCCATCATTAGCCACAGGGGATAATTTGTCCGGTTCTGTTTGCGCTGACACTGCTGTTCCTCTTTGTCTTCACAGCACACATTTTGTAGAAGATGTGCCTTAACATCTGGTGAGTACAGAACTATTCTTGTGTGATGCAGCCAAAACACTGTTATTTTCTGGTTTGTTTGCTTTCACTCACAAAGAAACCCGCAGAAAGATGTCTGGAAGGCTTAAAACCAGCTGTCAGTCACAGGCTGCCAGTGCAGCAGTGAGGGGCTGGGGCACTGGAGGGCTGTGCAGCCTAGAGCTGTGATGGCATGGGCACTGGAGGGCTGTGCCCAGCTCCTGGGCACAGGATGTTCTCAAATCCTGGAATATGCAATGGATAATCCCAGGATAATACATCTCGCCCAGAGCTGACCCATTGATTTCAGACAGAAAGCTTTCTCTGGCTGCCTGTCTAAGGAGCAGGGGGGCCGTGTTTGGCAGAGACCCATCAAGCCCCTCCTCCCCCATCCCCTTAGTGCCAGCTCTCCAGCCACTGTCCCAGCCTGTTGCAGCAGCACACAGAGCTGCTTCAGCTCACCCAGCTCTTCCAGAAACCTGGTGGAGCCCATGTCTGGCTGCTGGCCTGGCCTAGCCAGCTCCCACTTGCTTTGGACTCTGCACTATGAAGACTTTCTTTGGCATGAGCCTCTGCCCCTCTTGGAAAGCTGCTGCTCAACACAAGCCAAGCAATTAATTTCACCAGAACAGTGAGCCCTGAGGAGCTCCCTGGGGAGTCCAGCAAAACAGCAGCTCTTTTCTCCTTAACGTGTTCATCTTCCACATGTGAGTCCCTCTGCCCTCCACGTTGTGCTATATCTCTCCCAATCAACAGATTTGTAGCAAAAGGTGTTGCAGTTGCAGTCCAGAGCTGCTCAGTTTTGCTCCTGCCCTCCAAGCTGGTGTCTTTGCTTTGCTGCAGCATCTGCAGTGCCCCACTGGCAGCAGAGCCCCAGGCCTGCAGGGGGGACAGGTTGTCCATGGGACATCTGCTGGTTTGTGGTCACTGCCCGTGAATGCTCCCACACTTCAGCAAACACAAGGCAGTCTGAATTAGCGTGGCCTTCTCTCACTGGCAGCTAGCTTGAATTATTAGGGATGAACATCAACTGTAACTTGTCACCAGGCCCCAAGACAGATCAGAGATAGTGACTTGCAGAGCTCGTGTGATTATTCATGGCTCACCCCGTTGTCACCCACATGGGACATGGCCAGAGAAGGAAAAATAATAACATCTCCGTGTAGAGGCTCTGGGAAGTGGTCCTGCAGTGTCCAGCTCTGGCTGAGTGTCTCTTTTGCTTCCCCACCTGGCAGAGAAGTGCCCCGTGGACAATGCCAAACTGACTGTGGTGGTGAACAACATCGCGGTGGCCGAGCAGATCGGGGAGCTCTTCATCCACTGCAAGTACGGCTGCCGGGCTGCGGCCACCAGCAAGCCCGCTGCCTTCGAGGTGGACCCCCGTGGCTGCCCCTTCACCATTAAACTGAGTGCCAGGAAGTAAGTGGCTTGTTCCCAGCGTGCAGCCTCTGCAGGGACAGGGCTCCACCACCAGCTGTTGCTGTTGTATCTGAGAAGGACCCTGTGGTTCCTGGGCACGGGGCAGGTCCCTCCAGCCCTGCGCTGCTCGGGGGTGGGGATGGGCAGGGTGACTTGAGGGGACAATTCTTTCCCCTGTGTCTCAGTTTTAGCATGCTGGCAGATGGGCTGGTCTCAGGGAAGGGATGCTGTCTGTCCTCTGCTCCCTGCTCACCGGAGTGCCTCAGCATGGGGACAAGGGGTTACACTGTGAAAACAGCCCCCTCACCTCTGGGGAGAATCACTGGCTGTGGTCAAGCAGAGACCTTGGGATTCTTTTTGTTATCCTACCCATATCCTGGGAGTCTGGAATCTGTCTGCCTCCATCCTAAATGCATTCACTGTCTTCCCCATCACCTGGCCATTGCCTGTTGATGCTGTCTGAAGGCTCAGCTGATCAGCTGCAGAAGTAGATGTTCTCTGTACAAATGTGGCCTATTATTACTCTCAACTTCCTGGCCAAATGAGACTTTAAAGCTGTAATTGCAGCCTTAGAGCAGGAGGCTTTCAATCACCCGACAGTCTCACAGGGCTGGTTTACACCTTTCCTGGTGATCTGTGTGGTTTCTACTAATGTTTGCTTATTGTTGATTTTCCCTCCTTTTGCTTCTCTCCATGGGCAGGGATCATGAAAGCAGCTGTGATTACAGGCCAGTTCGCTGCCCCAATAACCCCAGCTGCCCACCTCTCCTGAAGATGAACCTGGAGGCACATCTGAAAGAGTGTGAGCACATCAAGTGTCCCCACTCCAAATATGGGTAAGGAGCTGATGCTTTTTAGTGGCAAGGAGGCACTGAGCTAATTTCTGAGCTGCTTGTCAGCTACTGCAGCTTTGGAACAGCCCCTTGGGCTCTGAGCTGCTCTGCCCACTGTTGTGCGCTGGCCTGAGGCTGAGAGCAGGGCTGCAGGGTTTGCAGAAGGCAGCCCATGAGCCTCTTGTTGTGAACAGGCAGGTCATGCTGCCCAGCTGTGAGCCCTGCTGGCAGCTGAGGAGGAGTTTGACGTGTGTGGGCAGAAGAACCAGCTGGAGGAGAGGCAGAGCAATGGTTGTGGCCAGAGCTGGGCAGGGAGGAGGATGAGCACAAGGGTAACAGGAGTGCTGTGGCTGTGCCTTTTGAAACAGCCCCTCTCCCAGGGGAGGGAAGGGCTGGTCAGCCTTGGAGGGCTGATTGTCACCTGAACAGGAGTGCAGCCAGGCTGGGGGATCCCTTCAGGATGCCCAGCTAAGGTCACTGTTGCAGGAGGAGGTGTCTTGGCAGAAGGAGAGCAAGGCAAGCCCTGGCAGAGCAGCCCTGAAATGCTGCAGTCACCATCTGATGAGATCAGCTGCAGTTGTTTTCCATTGCTATTGATGGCTGTTGGCTTGAGCACATCAACTGACCACATTCTGTCACTTGCCCAAGACCTGCTCTTCCTTGCAGCTACCTAGACAGACAGTTCAGTTTGGGGCCAGTGCCTTGGCTAGGAGAAGCAGCTGCTTGGCCCCTGTGTTGCCCTGCAGTTGCCTGCAGCAGCAGGATGGTGAAGAACAGTAGCACTGCTCCTGGTGGGAAGAGCAGAACACGCAGGCCTGGACCTCCTTCTCAGGAACCAGCTGAACAAGGAGGTCTCCAGTGTGAACCCTGCTCCAGCCAGAATCTGCCTTCCCCTCACAGGTGTACGTTCATAGGAAATCAAGACACTTATGAGACCCACTTGGAGACGTGCAAATTTGAGGGTCTCAAGGAGTTCCTGCAGCAGACAGACGATCGCTTCCATGAGATGCAGGTGGCAATGGCCCAGAAGGACCAGGAGATCGCCTTCCTGCGCTCCATGCTGGGGAAGCTCTCTGAGAAGATTGACCAGCTGGAGAAGAACCTGGAGCTCAAGTTTGGTGAGTCTGCACCAGACAAGCTCTGTGGTCAGAGCTGTAGGAACAGGGCAGCTCTTTGTTAGGATGGTGCATTGCAGGATTCATTCCATGTTTAAAACTGGTGCTGAACAGGCTTCAGGAGGTTCAGATACTCCTTGCAGAGGAACAAATAGGGAACAAATTGATTTCTCTGCTGCCAGAACATCATGGGACCTCATCTTGCAGTCAGTGACCACATGGCAAGTCCTAGAAATGTCTGCCACCTTTCTACTGTGACTTTTCCTGTGCAGTCCATGGGCACAGGCCCCCGTAAAAATGACTCAGTCAAACAGCCAAGAATGCAGCTGTCCTGGAGCAAACATAATGTTCCTGGGCACCTGGCTGTGCCCAGCCCTGACTTGCCTCTGAAATTTGTTGGGCCTTCAGCATCCAAGAACAATTTGCATTTGAGTAGCAGACACCCTCCTGCTTTTCCCTTCTGATAACAGCACTGTGTTTTCCTCCCTTCTTGTTCAGAGGTTGCCTGACAGAGGGTGTCCTCTGCCTGTTCCCCTGGCCACCATCACTGTCCCTGCAGTGACTAAGGGTCTGTCCCTCTCTTGCAGATGTGCTGGATGAGAACCAGAGCAAGCTGAGCGAGGACCTGATGGAGTTCCGCAGGGACGCCTCCATGCTCAACGTGAGGAGGGGCCCGGCTCTGGGGCTGCGCAGGGGTTCAGGCAGCTGGCTGCTCTGCTGCTAGTTAGGTTCTCCTGTGGTGGGGGAGTCCTTCAGGGTTCCTCCTGCCTGCTGGCTTCTCACCCCAGCTTGGATTTGACTTTGGTGTAGCTGGGGCCTGGGGGAAGGTTTGCTCCAGGCTGAGTTAAGGGCAGCTCAGTGAGCTCGTTCTTGTCACTGCATCTGAGCTGCCATTTGCACTGTTCCTGCTGCCTTTTCTCAACCTGTTGCAGCTCTTGAAATGTGTTCTTGGAGGAAAGGACCCCTGCAGCAAGGAGAGAGCCCTCTGCTCCAAAGCCTGGACACTCCTGTACCTTTTATACTAGCCAGGGACAGTGTGCCCTTCTCCCTGCCTGCAGAGAAAGAAGAAGATTAGCAGATCCCTTCTTACAAGTTGAGACTGAGAGCTGTCTCATGATTTTGGACATGATTCAAGCTCTGATGTTGGAAAGACATTCCCCCCTAGTTCAGACAGGCTGCATCCCACTGCATCCCTCCTCCTCCCACTGATGAGGAGGAGCTCACCCTGGTTTACCTAAGCTTGCTAATGAAGAGAGTCTTAGGAGTGCAGTAGGGACCAGAATGGGGAGGAGACTACAGAGACCTCACAATTCTTTAGCAGCAAGGTGGGCTTCAAGAGCCCAGCTGAGCAAGCAGTCCCCGTAACCAAATGGATTATTTTTAGCAGCCTGGTGGATGGCAGAGCAAGGACAGTGTATTCTGAAAGTACTTCTGTGCCTGCCTGAATACTGAAGAGTTTAGTGCAGGTCTGAGATGCTGTCAGTCCTGTGGTCTCTGGAGGGAGGTGTTGGAGGGATGTGGGCAGGCCTAGAGCAGGAGACCTCTGGTCAGAGAATGAGCCAGAATGGGCCTTCACAGGGAGTCCAGACCTCTCCAAAGGCAGGAGCAGTTTTAGCAGTGGAGTGGGACAGCCTTATGGTCATGCCCAGAAGGGCAGGCTGGTCTTGGTGGCTCTGCTGCTGTTGACACTTGTTCTGTTTTTCAGGATGAACTCTCCCACATTAATGCTCGGCTCAACATGGGCATCCTTGGATGTGAGTATGCATGTAGTTGTTTTTCATCCTCAGTCTGGTTTTGGGGTGGTTGCCCAGGGAGCCCTTCTAGGCGAGGTCACAGATATGCAAAGGGACATTGGTCTCTGGGTGCAACAGCCCAGGATGGCTGCTGCTGCAGGAAGAACTTACTGGTGGGAGAGCTGGCCAGAAGCACTGGCCAAAATGCAGCTCATGGTGCTGCAGGGTTGTGAGCTGCAGGGGGGACATGGCCAATGGACTCTGCAGCTCTGGCCTCCCTAGGTCCAGCCCAGGGGTTGGATGAGGGAGATGAGTCCTGGGGATCCAAGCAGTAAGTCGATGAGCTGTAAGGGTGGGACATGAGACCCCCCCCCAAGCCAGATGGGGAGTGTTTCACGGCTCCTTCTGCCCTGCTGCAGCATGAAGTGCAAGTTAAGGGAGCTCCATCTTCTCCAAACTCCCCATGATACAACACAGGACCATTCTCCCACCTCTCACCTGCCCTCTTCTTTCTGTAGCCTATGATCCTCAGCAGATCTTCAAGTGCAAGGGCACCTTTGTAGGACACCAGGGCCCTGTCTGGTGTTTGTGCGTTTACTCCATAGGAGACTTGCTCTTCAGTGGCTCTTCAGACAAAACCATTAAGGTAAGAGTTTGCCTCCTCAGTGTGCCTTTTGCATTTGTAAACATGTTCTATGTGGGACAGAAGCTGGGTTGCATTCCGGGGAGGTGGGGATGGTGTCACTTCCCAAAGAATCTTAAATGGTTCTTTCAGCTGTTGTTGGGCAAAATTCTCTGTGAGGAAATGTTACTTGATGGTGAAATCGAGGGACAAATGGTTTTTTTTGCAGACCCCTGATTAGAATCTCATTTGGGCTGCTGCTGGTTTTGCTTCATAGGGCATTCAAGCCTATTTCAGCCTCTCATTTTTTTTTCCTGTGCTATAAAAAGTCATGTTAGCCAAAAAAAGGAAAATCTTCCCCAGATCAAATGCTCCTTTTTCCATTTTATGCCATGTTTGTTTTTCTTTGTCCTGTTTTCAGTAACTCAAACTGACAGCACTGCTCCAGTGCAACCAAAACAACAGCTCCCAGTGTCACCATGCTGGCTGCTGGTGGCTACTGGTGGCTGCTGGCTGGGCTCACCAGCTGACTCACCCTGCCAGGAGCAGAGCTCTGCTTTAGTTTCTTTGAGAGGTAACAAGAGCCACATGGAAGAAAATAGACATTACTGTACTTTATTGAAAGAATACAGCTTCCTTCCCTGAACTGGCTGCTCTGGGTACTGCATTCCCATGTTCCCTCTCATGAGAGAGCAGTGGGAAAACCCTCTGCAGTGGCAGAGGGGTCTGGTCAGAGTCCTCAGATGGGCCTTGAGTTGCTGAAGCAGGAGCCCCAGCTGCTCCTCTGGCTCAGCACGTTGTGTTGGCCTGGGCACTGCAGAGGGCTGATGTGTCCTGCTGCCCCTGTCCCATTAGCTTCAGCCTGACCCTTTGCACTGAATTTCCTTTCCTAGACAAGCTTATCTCTGCCTGGGGGCCCGGAAGGCAGGTGCCCAGGTGACAGCCTGTTTCCTCTGTCTGTGCTTTTGTGGCTTTGCTGACATCCTGCCTGGGTCCCCAGCTGCTCTGTCTGCTGGCGTGTGACCCTCTGCTGACTTGTGTTTCCTGTTAGGTGTGGGATACCTGTACCACATACAAGTGCCAAAAGACCTTGGAGGGTCACGATGGAATTGTACTGGCTCTCTGCATCCAGGGGTGAGTGGAGAGGGACACCTGCCCTGCAGGAGAGGGGGGAGAACTGGGGCTCCTGAGCATGCCCTTACAGTTCCTGCCTTCAGTCCTTTCAGTCCTGCACGTGCCAAGACGGTGCATGAGGGGCACATTGTGCCTCTTTACTCTTGAAAAATTAACAAAACACATCTCTCTTTAGCCTCCCCTGCTGTCCTGGTCACCAGTGGGGTGCCTGGCCTCCCCACGATACCTGGGCTTTGCTCCTGGGTTAATGTGTTTAGCCTTGGCCCAGTGAGGCTGTGGGACTGCAGCTCCTTGCCCAGCATAATACCTGGGAGCGAGCTGGAGCCCTCAGTGGTTGCTCTCCCTCATTGGTTTGCTGCTCCTCACTGACCTCCTTTTGTTTTCTGGTGCCCTTACAGGAACAAGCTGTACAGTGGCTCTGCTGACTGCACCATTATTGTGAGTACCCAGGACCCCTGGTCTGCTTCACAGTTGGGATGGGAGATCTCTGGGCCAGCCCCAGGCTGCTGTAGAGCAGGGACTTGCATCCTTCTTTCTACAAGGCTCTGCAGCTGGTGCTGGACTGATAACCCCTGGGTGCCTGACCCACTATCTCAGGGTGGGATTTGGGTGCTCCTGCAGGCTGGGCTTCCCAGTCCCTGTTTCAGCATGGGTAGCAGGAGGCTGGTGCTCTGAGCTGGAGCAGGGTGGTCAGTCCTCATCAGGCCAGGCTCTTACGACAGCCGTGTCCTGCCTGTGCTTTTGTCTTCAGCAGAAGGGCCCTGCCCTCACGGGTGTTCCTCTCCTTTGCAGGTCTGGGATATTCAGAACCTGCAGAAGGTGAACACGATCCGAGCACATGACAATCCTGTTTGCACTTTGGTCTCCTCACACAACATGCTGTTCAGTGGCTCTCTCAAGGCCATCAAGGTAGAGCTCTGGGGTGTCTCCTCTTGGGCTGGTTGGGGATCAGTGGTACAAACTGTCAGGCAGCAGTGTCCAAAGAGGAAAAAAGTGGCAGTTTGCTGTCAGTGACCTTGTTACTATGCTCTCCTGAGCCACACAGAGCAGCCAGCACTGCAGAGGTTTAGCCCACAGTCTGTGCTGAAGTCAAAGATGTTCTGGGATCTGGCTGAAAAAAACTCTACTTTTTTTCATCTAACTTGGTAGACCTGAGGCTGCAGGTGGAGTATCCTGGCAGTTCCTGAGTGTGTGTGTCCTTGAGTCCCCAGTGGACCTACTCAGACCATTGGGAATTGTTTCTGGGGTCCAGAACCAGCTGGGGATTCAGGCTGCCTGTTTTGAAACCCTCTCCAAGAATCCACATTCTTCACCTAAATTATGCAGAAATCAGGGAACAGCTTTGCAAGTTGCCCTTTAAAGCCTTGGCTAGATTCCCTTGGTTCTGCTTCCAGCTCCTGGTGAGATGGCTTATGGGACTGTCCATCTGTAAGAGGCCTTGTACTTTTTTTCTTCTTCTGGGGCCCAGGGTGGTTCAGCTACCTAGAGAGCATTGGGGCTGGAGGAGCAGAGAGACAGCACCAAGCAGAAGGAGAACTTGGGGCCTTTTCTTTTTGTTGTCCCCAGCCACTTTCTGCCAGACAATCTGAGCAGGCCAGTGGTGCTCCTCAGAGGAGCAGGGTGATATCCCTTTGTCCCTGCCTGTGGGGGGTTTTGGCCAGGGTTTCCAGGAGCTGTGGGAGTGGAGCTTTGTGGGGACAGGTTGGGGGAGGAGGCCCAGAGCTGTTCTTACTGTAGATGTGGTTGAGGTTTTTCAAGCCCGTGGCTGTGCTGGGGAAGTGGCTCTACTAGTGATGATGAAGGCTCCAGGGGGGCTCTCCATGCTCTCAGGGAACATTCCTATTCACCAGTTATTGTGTGTTTTATCTGGAAGTGGGTTCAGGTGATTCCCACGGGGCAAGAGAGCCAGCACGAGGTTCCCCTCAGTGAGCTGGTAGGGCCTTGTGCTGGCTGGGCTGGGGGGGGGCAGCACCTGGACCCCGAGCTGGGGCTTGACCTGTTCTGCCCCATCACTGCCCCATCCCACGGTGACCCTCCTCCATGTCTGTTGGTGTTTTCTGCAGGTCTGGGATATTGTAGGTACCGAGCTCAAGCTGAAGAAGGAGCTGACAGGTCTCAACCACTGGGTGCGAGCGCTGGTGGCTTCTCAGAACTATCTCTACAGCGGATCTTACCAGACAATCAAGGTAGGACCCTGAGATGGGGCCCAGGTGGCAGCCACGGGCTCTGCTGAGCCTCTGCACACCCGTGTTCTGCAGCCTGGGTTGGAGGAGCAGGACAGGCAGCATCTGCTGGATCTGAGGGCACTGCCGTGGCCTTGCTGACACACTGGACATTCTGGCACTGATTGCATCTCTGCAGGCACAAGGGCCAGACCCTGCCTGCTCCTTAGGGGAGCTGCTCGTCCAGATAAACCAGGGCTGTGGCACCTCACGCTGCCCACGTGGCTGCTGCAGCCTTATCTGCACTGCTGATAAGAGGGGAAGGGCACTGTCTGGCAGCAGAGCTACCATAAATCTGTGTGTGGTTTCCCAAGCACCCTCATCTGTGTTGGCTCAGGCTGTGATGAATAGTTCACCTCTCAGCATCTGGGTGACAGGAGAATTTGAAGTTGCCCTCCTCAGTGCTAATAAATCCCTGTTCATTTGTCTGCATCAGATGTTAGTGCTGTTGAGGCCTAGGCTGTGTGTGCACGTGTGCATAGTCACACACACACAGTGGTACCATCTTCACAACTTTTTCAGCCTGGATATTCAAAGCTGGGTAGCTAAGTAAGACAGCAGGATTTTGGTCACCAGCACTGAACATTTCTAAACAGACAGATTTGTCCTTAAGGCTGTGATGTGGGCACAGACTGACTCCATGGGTGGCTGGAGAAGAGCTTCAAGGGTCCTCCCTCCTGGAGAGGGGTCCCTGCATGGGTCTCACCCTGCTTTTACTCTGGCATCTCTCTCAGATCTGGGACATCCGCAATCTGGAGTGTGTCCACGTGCTGCAGACGTCGGGAGGCAGCGTCTACTCCATCGCTGTGACAAACCACCACATCGTGTGCGGCACCTACGAGAACCTCATCCATGTAAGGGCTGTGGGGTTTGACACCCTGGTTGGCCTGGGCTGGGGGAGAGGGGCAAGGAGATGGAGACCTGGCTCTGCTAGTCCTCTCCATGGCACACCCAGAATGTGGGTGCACAGCACGCACCCTGGAGGGGTGTGTGGAGGTGGACACACCTCTTGGATGAGAAGTTGGTGGCTTGCAGCCCAGGGCAATCTCTGAGCCCTGCTCTCCTCCTCCAGGTCTGGGATATAGAGACAAAGGAGCAGGTCCGCACGCTGACCGGGCACGTGGGCACAGTCTATGCCCTTGCTGTCATCTCCACGCCTGATCAAACCAAAGTCTTCAGTGCATCATACGACCGGTCTCTCAGGGTACGTCTCCAGGGCTGTGCAGCTGCCCCGCTGCATTTGGCCCTGTTGTTAAAACACAGGCAGCCTCAAGGGAGAGGGAGGACTGGGGATCCTCATCCCTGCATGCCACGTGGATTTGTACTTAGTTGGTGTCACCTGGCTCGTGCTCTGTGACACTCGGCACCCCCTGTCCCTCCCGGTGCCTGGGGTGTGCCAGAGCCCCGTGCTGCTGGCATGGCTCACACCTCCTGTTCCCATAGGTGTGGAGCATGGACAACATGATCTGCACCCAGACGCTGCTGCGGCACCAGGGCAGCGTCACTGCCCTCGCCGTCTCCAGGGGCCGCCTCTTCTCCGGCGCCGTGGACAGCACTGTAAAGGTTGGTTCCCTCAGGCTTCTCCTTGGTGGTTTCATCTATTCCAGCATGAGAACTGGGGCATTAAATGAGTTAGGAGCCATCTTCAAACAAACAAGGGGATGGTTCTCAGTGGGTGCGAGGTTTAACTCCTGACAGAGGGTTTTGTGGGAGCCAAAGTCCAAAGGGCAGCTCCACAAGAGGATGAAGAGAAGCCCACAGAGCTGCTCAGAGGTTCCTGCCACAGGTTCCTGTTGTCTCTCCTCCCCAGGTCTGGACGTGCTAGCGAGAGCTCCATGCTAGTCCTGCACACTGAAAGACCAAACACTCCTCCCCTCCGTCGGCCTGCTGGGTGACTAACACCACTATGGAATAACTGCTGCAGCTCCTCTCCACACCCACCACTGCCCACGGATGCTCCAGGTGTTCCCTCAGATCTGCCGTACATGTTTGGAAACGCAGTGGAAGCCATTCAGGTGCCTTCCACACCGCAGGCTGCCCTCCTCTGCCTGCCTCCCCCAGCCAGGGAGCCCCCTCCAGGGGCAGGGCTGGGGTGAAGCTGGGCCCCCAGCCCCAGGCAGCCCCGGGGGGCTCTGGCATGGACACCCCACAGCCCTGGGCCTGCGGTGGGACCGAGGGGTTCAGCTCGCCAGCTGGCCAGGGCAGTGATGGCTGGTCCCCTTGTAAATGGAAGAGCTGAGCATTAGGCCTTGTCCTGGGTTGGGATCCCAGCCCCTTTTCTGTCTCTAAGTATTTAATTTTACTGCCAAGATGTCAGGCTGATCCATCTGGGAAGAGGTGTTTTCCTGAGTAGCCAGGTACGATTTTTATGCCACAGCTAGTTCTCAAATCAAGTAACACAAGCCCATCGTTCACCACCCTGTAATAATGGTCTCCACATTAAAGAGAAAAAGCCTCTGTTGCATTTTTACTCACATTTTCTACTGTTTTTAAGATTGTAATATAGATTTGATTATTTCTTCATTGACAATAAAAGCAGAAAGAGTTGTTCCTGCTCGGTGTGGGTTCTTGCAGGCTCCTGGTGGTCAGCACTGCTCCGGGGGCAGCTCCTTTGCCCGTCCACCCCGAGGCAGCCCCAGAGGGGTGGGCATGGCCATGGCACCTGCTGTGAAAATGGGGTGCAGGCACCAGGGGAGGAGCAGCTCTCAGCAAGTCAGGCTGTGCCAGCACCCAGCCCATCCAAGGCAGAGGCACCCAAGGGTGATCTCGGACCCTGCAGCATCTAAACAGCAAAAGGCGACCCTGCCGCGGGGACTCGCTGTACAGCGAAGCCATGGCAGGGGAGGGCTGGTGGCTTTTTGGACACAAACAGTGGTGGCAGCCAGGCTGGGGATTTTATTTTTTTTTATTATTTTTTGTTCTTTAAATATTTGTTGCCAGACTTTGTATAAGAGCAAACTTCTTCACAGCACCACGAGCCATCTACTATTCAGAATAGGAAGAGTAAGACGAGTAGAGGTGAAACCTAAGCACAGAAGAGCAGGAGAAGCACCAGGATGCATAGCTTGACAGATGGGATACGATACAGAGTCCATAACTTAATCATAAAAAATATATATATGTATATATCCATCATGTAGAACTTTATGGAATTTTTTTTCTTTTTTTTAGATACATATTTTTTTCTTTTCAACAGATACTTTCAGGCGGGTGATTTTATAATTTTTTTGTTATTTTTAAAGCCTTTTTTTTGTGTTGGTTTTTTTTTCTTTTTTTTCTTTTTTTTTTTAAAAGAAATTTCAAAGTTGTGCCAAACACATCTGGATCAGCGACCACAAGGGGCGAGACGGGGCTGGGGGAGAGGGGAGGAGGGAGGGAGAGACCACTCTGTACGTCTCCAGAAAAGAAAGGAGCAGCAATTGGAAACCACAAGCAAAACAAAAACAAAACAAAGAAAATAAATAAAAAAGCATTCATCAGGACTCGAGCGACTGAACCAGACTCCAACTCCAGTTTATACAGGAATATACAACAGTGTGTCCTGCAGAACGCACCGAGCACACGCACCCCCCGCGCACACACACACACACACACCAAACAAATGCTGAAAACAACATTTTTTAAAAAAAAAACACTCAACAAAACCCACACCTGAAGACACTCCGAAAGAAATGAAACACCTCCAGGATAAGAAGTAACAAAAACCTCCATAAAACAAGGCACATCCTTTGAGTTCTTAACGCTGTAAAAAAAGAAAGATGCGACACCGAATCCCAACGGAAAGACCCGAACAGAACTGCTCGCACGTACCTTCCACCCAGAGAAAAGGTAAATGTTGTGCTACTCTTAGAATGAGTTTGCCACAAGACACACAGCTTAGTATAATCTAATAGTTTGTTTTTTTCCTCAAGCTAAAATCCAGTTTTCTCTTGATTTCTTTTAAACTGCTTTATATATAATTGCTAATATTTTTAAATCTTTTAAATATATATTTGTTAAAGTTTATTCTTTTTATTATTTTGGGGGATGGGGGAAAATCTGCTTTATATCTTTTTTTTTTTCCCCCTCCAATAAATTAATACTTCTTTATAGCTTATCACTGTCCTCTCCCCTGGCAGGGGTGGCCAGGCAGGGGCACGTCCTGCTGCCCCCCCACCTGCCCATGTCACTAAGAGCTCCAACATGGGGTGTTTGCTCCCCAAACTGCAACTGACACAAACTCCCCCATTCCCCCGGCCGAGGCAAAGACTCCACGAAGGGGATCCCCACAGCCAGGCCCCCTGCACCCCTTGGGCAGCTCCCCAAGCTCCACGAGGCAGCCCCCAGCCCGGCATGGTGCTGTGGTGGGACCCCCTGCCCTGCTGCCCCCCCCCCAACAACCACCAAAAACAAAACTTGAAAAGGAAAATTTGAAAAAAAAAGAAGAAAGAAAAAAGAAAAAGGAGAAAAGAAACCCAAGTGCATTTGCCCACCTGGACCTGCCAGCAGTGCCACTGCAGTGGCTGGCGGCAAAAGCTGGTGGTGACAAACGG